TATCTATTAAACATAAAATAACATAAATTATTCATTCCAATGCACTCTAAATACAAGAAAAAACCAGGTATTTTTCAAATCATCTCCAATCCATATTTTCCAGTGTACCAGACACTTTCTTTTGGATCTGTATATGAAAGTGACTGATAGGTAGTGAATGCAAAGAAATTTTTGCCTGTGGCAGTAGCGAAAGTGTTCCAGGTGCTAAGAACTGAAGTGGAGAAAGTTCTAGTTAAGATGAGTCGCCGTTTCTACATCGATTTTGCCTCAGAATTGCCAATTCATTTAAATCTGTACAGCAAGCGAAGTGATAGAAGATTCATTTTTCCCTTTCAAGATTCCCCAAAAGCGCTAAAATTCAACTTTGCAGCCACATCGGCACCAAGTTTGAAGCATCGGAATCGCTTCAAAGATTGACAATTAAATTGCGTTCAATGCTTGCGGCTGTGCTTGATGCATGGTGGGGCTATGCACAGAAACTCCGCAATGTTTGGAAATTTTGGAGAAGGTAAGAATTGTGAAACTGTTACTAGCAAAAAAAAAGAACAAAAGTACTAAATGTTATCCTCTTTTTTTTCCTTTTCTTTTTTATGTTTTCCTAACATTAAAAAAATAAACATGCAGATGTTTTTAATGCTTTATATATATATATAAACTTTAATCTTGAATAAAAAAGGAATGTTTTTAATGTGAATTGAATACTAAAATGGAAAGCTAATCTTTCCTATAAAAACAAATGCTTGTAAGTATGCAATTATTTAATCCTGACCTTTTCTTTTAATTTTCTTACCTTAGATATTACCTTTTCTTATCAAGAACAAATGTTTATTATTTTTATAAATACATCATGCAAATAAAATTTATTTATATCAATTAAAAAAATAAAGATAAATTATAATAATCTCTTTGTAATATTGTTAAAATACAAAATATTTTTTTTAAAGAACTACTATTTAAAAAAGGTGAACCATATAATTTGTAATATTGTTAAAATACAAAATATTTTTTTAAAAAAGGTGAACCATATAATTTAAAAATTAGATAGAGAGGGTATTAATTTAGATGTAAATAAATAAATCAATGCAAAGCAAATATATATATATATATATAAAAGAAGGACATTAATTAAATTTTAAAAAATAAACAAAGTTAGAAAAAAAAAAAAAAGAGGCTAGGCTCATATGCTTCACTAGCTACTCAAGAACGAGATTTTTGTTGTCAGAATGCGGACAATCAACTAAAATATAATAAAAATAAAGTTTAGAATCAAAATACTAAATTGTAAAACTAAAGGGACACAAAATGATATTGGAAATTTTTTTAAGCAAAGAATGGTTAAAAGACGCGTTCTGCATGGTTAAAAATAATAATAATAATAAAAAACCCCTTGCATTGTTGTCTCCCACTTGATCCTGCCCCCGAATTTGTAAAGCAATAAAACTGATTTTTTTTAAAAAAAAAATCGAGGATCAGGATGTTATTTTGACACCTCAATATTGAGCCCAATTCCCCCACCATCATAACACAAAAGGATTAAATTGAAAAACAATTTATTTAGTGACTGAAGTGGAAGTTTTTTCAAAGGACAAGAAAGAAAAACGTGAATTTATAGTAATCTACAGTGCTTGTAGTAATTTTCCACACCATTTCGGTTTTTGTTAATAGTTTGCATATATACTTGTAATATAAAGATTTTTATGGTCTCTACAATCTACCATCCAAAAGTGGCTGAGAAAAGACACTCAAAATCTACGCAGAACAGAGTAATAAAATAATATATCTTCTCTGAAAGGGTTTAAACTGGTGAACAGAAAAACTAACCGAGTGGCCTGCTTCCTTCCTGATTCCTGTGCCATATGGTGCGGAAATCAAAACTGAAGAAGCATAATAGGCATGCATGCTACAGCACAAACTTTTGTTGGTTTCATCATAACTTAGTCTTGCTCTTGCATTCTTGGCTTTGAATCTTGATGGAAGGAATATCAATAGCGAGTCGGCAATCAGAAGTAGCAACAGCGTGCTTTCTGAATATCTTCAGGAAGGAGACCCTGCCAGGAATTCTCGTTCGTGTTTCAATAACAAGCTGCCCTTGCAGAACATCACTGATTAAAGCTGAAATATGACTTGCCATCGCATCCACCTCTATGGTAAGCTGGGAAGGAAGTGTCTGAGTCCCCTTAGAGGGTATCAGGCCTGGGCACAAGTCAGCCTCTCCCACCTGGTCGCCTTGATATAGAAGGTAGCTCTTTCCAGGGCCATGTTTGAAGCTGGCATGGTTAGGATTCTTGACGAGGAGTGTGAGATTGAGGGTGACGTTAAGTTGGATACTAACAGGAGAGAATGAAATGCGAGGAGAAATGCCTTCGAGGGTAGCCGATACGAGCTCGGTTCTGGGCTCTTTAGGCTTGAAAACTGTCAGGGCAAGGATGAGAACAATAATGAATAGCAGCAGCAGCAAGAGGAGAACTACCCCACCAACAATGAAACACCTTCTTCTCCTGGCCTTGGGATCATGTCCTCGGTCATTAGTTTCTATCATTGATGCCTGAAGGGTTTGGCTAGTTGTTTGAGATTTTCAAAGATAGCAAGGGAATCCGGAGAGCTGTACAGAGCACAGACAGGGCAGGTGAGGAGGAGGTATAAATGCAGGGATGTGCCAGATATCTAACCTAATTAATTCTGTTTGATTGAAGATTTGCACAGGGTGTTGGGGGTTGGGCTTTTATTAATTTTCGCCATCACGCTCTCTTCTCTCTCATAGCCTCAAAGAACGCTTATGAGAGCAAGCAAGGGGAGAGGCTAAGATGAAATCTCATGAGGGAAGAAGAAAGAATAAACAAGAGCCTACCCAGTTAGACTATTTAGTGGCTGCGGCTGCGTTTCACTTGAAACGCAGTTTCTATATATTTAGTTAAGAAAAAAAGGATTTACTATTTACAGGGCTCACCTTTTACTCTGTTTGGAACGCAAGGACGATCGAAGTAGCTTGAAATTGCTTTGTTGCAATTGTGTTACAACATAGTAAACAATTGCACGCCTTACAACAAAGGAATAACCAGCCCTTTTCCTTCTCCTTCTCCTCCTTCTCCTTCTTTGAAGCAGCTTGGAGCTGCTTTTGTTGCAACTGTGTTACAACACAGTAACAATGACATGTCTTGCAGTAGAGGAATAACTAACCTTCCCCCTCCTTCTTCTTCTTCTTTTTTCTTCTGCATCATGTTTTCACTGTTCTGCAACGTGAACACTGGAGACTCCATTATTCACATTAAAGAACAGTGGAGCGCAGCTCCCTCAGCATTGCCCAGGCCTACCGTC